TGGGGGTGTACCCATCTTCCCTAAAAAAAAAAAAAAAAAAAAAGAAGAGATAATGATAATATATATATATATATATGATACACGCATAAAAAGCAGAACAAAGAGGGGGAGGGAGGCATGAAAAGACATTTGAGATAAAAGGACACTTACTACAGAAAGGGGTATTTTCCGGCGCCTTACCGGCACGACTCTGGCTCTCGGATGCAGCAGGCTTCGAAGGTCGCGAACGTTCCGGGGGAGTTGCTTCTCTAGTCCGAGGAGGACCACTTGGTGCCACCTTTGGGATGAACCTTTTAGACTTACCGGCAGTCTGCTCTTTCTTTGCACTTGGTTTCTCCTCTCGTCCCCGTTTGCTCGACACCGGTGTTGTGCCTTTTTCGGGACTGCGAGGCTTTTGCGTTCCCGGCTTTGGTCTCGTTTTAAAAAATTCTCCAACAATGTCACCGGACTTGGAAATAAAGGGCAGGTTGCGCTTTTGTCTGAGAGGGATGGCTTTCTCTTCCGACACCAAACCTGCAAGGCGGGCTGTTGTAGAGGCAGTCTGTCTCCAGGAAGAGATTGGAACTCACGAAGAGAGTCGAGACAGCGGTTCCAGTAGGCTTGGTACCTTTGTGAGAAGCCACCAATCCTCCTCTTACTAGCCAAAACGAGGGGCCTGCAGCTGTTCGGTATATGGTCATTGCTCCAGAAGATCCTATGAAGCATGAAGGGGTCATCATGATTGGGAGTGCTTGGTACCCTTTGATCGAGCCCAAACTATCGCTTAACTCAGTGTGGTGAGTAAGTCATGGAAATCTCTAAACGACTGTCTCTAAGAGTAGGCAATGGGATAGGAGCAACATTCAACAGAGCATACCTTCTGAACTGGCCGCCTTGTGATACAGCTGCTGAAACCTCGACAGTATCACCAACATCAACATAAAAGGACACGAAGGTGAAGGTCTCCGCTGAGGTGCCGTAAGGATGGAAGACGAAGTTCTCAATGCTATCCAATAATTTTAAGAAGTCCTGGCCTTTCCGTTGCATCCGTTTGAACCATCTACAAACTAGGGGAAGGTTATTCGGCATGTAAGAACCCTTGCCCTAATCAGCCCGCTCCATTGCATACGAATGAGGGAGTGAATGTACATCCAGCCCTTTGAAACGCTCCCATAAAAACACCTGCAGGAAACCAGAATTCAAGAAAGTCTCCATTCCGGATGCATTTTTCTCCAAAAGCTGGGTCCGATCGAGCAGCTAGTATAGATGGCCCAAGAACATGGGGGCTAAAGGGATCGCGTCGCCTCGAGCTATGGCCAAGGCCAAGGGAAACACATGCTTGTGCAAATAGTCCGGAGAAAAGTCGCAAAGCACGAACCTCCCAAGCCACAGTGCTATAAATGCAGCCAACCGGCAAGGTCCCTGTCTGTTCGCATCACCAAAGTATTGAATCCAATTACTAAACCGAAGCGAGGTGCTGGGAGAAGTAGGAGCACCTCTCCGCAAAACCGCAAGCTTGTCTATCTCTTCTGGGGTGAGAGCAATGTCAAAAGGACTCCGGTTGCCACAAATTGGAAGGCGAGAGATATTCGCTACGTCCTCAAGGGTGGGGGTAAATTCTCCCCATGAACATATAAAGGTATGAGTAGCGGTACTCCACCTCCGGACCACATGACGCAGCATCTTCGCTTCAAGAGTCACTGTCAAGCTGCCGGAAACTGCTGAGATTACCCACAATTCTTCACAATCCTTCTCCCCCTTCATCAAACCTCCTTAGAATCCCTCTCTCTTTCCCTTAGAACCTCTGCCCCTCATAGGAACTCACAGCTCTCTCTCTCAAGTGCTAAACTCATGATAATTTTGCTCCCATGCCATAATCTTCTTATGCAAAGCTAGAAGATTTATCTGTAATTTGTCGTTATTTTCATCGGTAAAGGTAACCAAGGAGTTTCCTAAAGAGTCATCACCCTTTCGAGAAATCTTTGGGGCTTAATCTTCGAACTCCAAAGGGGACACTTGCATCAGATTTCTCCTTGCAGTAGCCCAGCCCACTTGCTGCCAGAAGAAAAAGGACCCCTATACCAATAATGTCAGAAGAAAAAAAACATGAAGGACCAAAGGTGATAATTTGGCAAACCTCAGGGACCATTTGTGATAAAAACTCTTTAGAAAATAACAAAAACAAAGAATGTACAACTTTAATTAAAACTAGCCTCTTGGCACAAGCATGTGCCAGCCAATTGGTTTTCATTTTTCATTTTTATTTTACTCTTAGTGCCCGTTTGGTATTGCTTATTTGGGATGATAAGTGATTTTAAAAAAAAATTGGGAAGCCCAACCCGTTTGGTAAACTATGAGAAAATCACTTATTGTTAAAAATTGCTGTGAGAGAAAGCTATTTGGGAAAGCAGCTAATAAGCTGCTTTCATTTTCTGATTATACAGGAATTAGTTTCAAAGAGGCGCTGGGTTTAATGATTATGCAGCAATTATTTTTTGATTAAACGGGAATCCATACTAACAACACTTTTAACAAAAAGTTTATCAAACGCCAAACTGTGTTATCTCACAACTGATTTCCTTCACAGCAAATCTGACAGCGATTATTTTCACAGCACAGCAATGCCAAACTGGCCCTTAGTGCCCGTTTGACATTGCTTATTTGGGATGATAAGTGATTTTTAAAAAAATTTGGGAAGCCCAGCCTGTTTGGTAAACTATGAGAAAATCACTTATTATTAAAAATTGCTGTGAGAGAAAGTTATAAGGGAAAACAGCTAATGAGGTGCTTTCATTTTCTGATTATGTAGGAATCAGTTTCGAAGAGGTGCTGGGTTTTAATGATTATGCGGCAATCATTTTCTGATTATGTGGGAATTAGTACTAGGGGTGGGCACGGTTCGGGTTGGATCGGTTTTTTCCTTAAATTAGAATCGATCCGGTACTATTTATCCGATTTGGATCGGTTCAATTTTAATTAAAAAAATTTCAGAAACTGTCCGGTTCAGGTTGAATCGATTTCAGTCCGGTTCGAGTTGAACCGGATTATAAAAATTATTTTTTAATACAATTTTCAACTGAAATTTTATTTTATTTGATTTGAAAATTAACAAATTATTCAATTTCATATAAAAATAAATATTAAAGTTAGAAAAGAGAGATATTTTGAAATTGAACTTGAATAAATATTAGTTATTAGATTAAAAATATAGCATTAAATATAAATAATTATATCTTGACAAAAAAAAAATATAAATAATTATTGAAATTATATATTTTTTAATTTGACCGGTTCGATTCGGACCAATTCGGTTTTTGAAGACATGAAACCGGATCCAAAATCGGTCCAAACCGGTCCAGTTCGGTTTTTGACCGATTATTGACTTTTTTGTCAACTCGATTTTTTTCCGGTTTGATTTGGTGCGGTTCGCCGATTTAAGTGCCCACCCCTAATTAGTACAAGCAACACTTTTAACAAAAAGTTTACCAAATGCCAAACTGATTTCTCTCACAGCTGATTTTTCTTACAGCAAATTTGACAACGATTATTTTCACAACACAGCAATGCCAAACTGTAGAATTAAGAAAAGATAACATAGGTAGTTATATTCCATAAAAATAGGACCTATTATCTGATTTTGTTTTTTTAATAAGAAAAAATGTGAATTTACCATATTATCCTCATTTAATAAATAATTTCAATTCTTAATGTTTGAATTAACCAATGGCATTTTCTAGTATTTTAAATATTTCACTATTCTCTGCCTTTTGCTTTATATATTTCAATTCTAAGATACATTATGTAATTATGTAAATTTATTTATTTTATACAACTTTATGTAATCAATATGTGAGTTATTTTTCAAAAGTATTTTCTTAATCATTTAAAAAATAGAATAAAATTCGACACTATAAAACTAGAATTATCTTTAAAAAAATAAAAATGAAACAACCTCAAGCCAACCTTCTCCTTCACTCTCTGCAAAACCCACCTCAATCCTATCGCCTCCCCTCTTTTGCTCTCTCCCTCTAGATACCTCTCTCATTCTCTCACCTCCTCTCTCTCTCTCCAAAATTAAAACTCACCCACTGCCTTCACACCTACCCCTTAACATTGCAGTAACCCCATCAACCAACCTCTCTCCATCTCTCAATCATCTTCTTCATCATAATACAAAAAGAAGACTGCTATGGAAAAAATAGAAGACCCACTAATTTCACCTCAAAAAGAAAGAAGACCCATGTGTATTTTCTGAAAAATAGAAGATCCATTGTGGAAAAATGACGAGCTTGAAATAAATGGGTGAGCTTGAGATAAATGGAAGATAGAGTGAAGAGAGACTGAGAATATTGTTCGGAGATTGCAAAATGTGTTTCAGCGTTTTCATTGAAAATGCTGAAAACGTTGTTTTGTTGTTATCAACTTTTGTATGTGAAATAGAATTCATTTTCACAATTTTGTTTTCCGCGTTTTCTCTCCGTGCCTACCGAACACAATCTCACCTATTTTCATTTTGGAAAAACAGAAAACGGGCTAGGGCCGTTCGGTAACGTTTTCGGAGAATGTTTTTTAAAATATTTTCAGAGAATGAAAACAAGAAAACGAATTTGTATTTTCAGGAAATAAAAATACATCTAATAAATTAATTAGAAAACATATTCAAAAAACAAAAACAAAAAACAAAAACAATGATAACGTTTTTTGTAGTACAATTTGAAATAATAATATGTGAGTTATTTTTATGAAAACAACTTTTTTCTGTTTTCTATAAGTACGCATGTTCTCAATATTTTCTGTTTTTGGGCCACCGAATATGTTTTTGCCTCATTTTTGTTCTTTGAAAATGAAAACAACCCCTTAAAACGTTACCGAGGGCCCTTATTTTTGGGTTTTTAAAAGGGCCCTTATTTTTTATTTCCTAACAACCAATTTTACTAGATTAGTATTAAAATATATTAAAAAATAGAATTAAAAATTTAAATAAATAAATAAATAAATAAGAAAAACCCTTCCCCTGCGCCTCTCCCTCCTTCCTTTTCCTTCCGCCTTCCACTCCCCCTCAGATATCTCTCTGCTCTCTTTCACCTCTCTATCCCTCTCACTCTGCACTCTATCTCTCCCTTTCTGAAAGCTTTAGTAGGTATCTGGGTAAGCCTTTTGTTTTTGTTGGTGATTAAAACTTGCAGTACCTATAATTCTCATTTTCTTTCTTCGTATCTAGAGTAAAATTTCTAAGCATAATTTTGTTTCTTTCAATCTTGTATTGTTCATGACAAATCCTAATTTCAAGGTGCAGAGATGTTCTTTTCTTTCTCTTTAGGGAAACTAAGAGGCCATTTTGAGTTCATATGACACCCATTAGAGATAAATGGAGATATATCCTGCTTAGGAGCTTGAACGGCTATAAATTTATAACAGCTTTGAAGAGTTGTTCATCATTTTGGTTTCTGAGAAACTAAAATAAAAATTAACCCAAGAGTCGTATCAGGCTCAGTTGAGTGGATCCTCATGTTTTTAAAAAGGTCATGGATGATGGGCAAATGCAAAACATTCAACTTCAAAACTTGAATATTTTGATTATCAGTTATATTATCCTAATCTGCCCAGTTTATTGTTTTACGTGTTTTCTTTCCTTAGCAACTATATATGGTGATGGTGGAGTTTGAATGTTTAGCTCTTTTGCTTACATTGCTTCACCTACTATGCTTATGAGTTCCTATTGCTTTTTCCAGGACCTTGGGTGATGGCTGCAGTTCTACTAGGGATGCCAGGACCATGGGCCGATGATTATCGTGAACAATCTGATCATTATACAACAAAAATTGGTGGACTACCTGTGAGAAACTGCACGCAATGTCATGTTTTTCTGGAGGATATGCTGATTGAGTTTTTGTTATTTTATTTTTGTTTTTATATCCCCTTTTACTTTCTTTGTGACAGGACTGGCCTCTTCCTGAGAAATCCGTGACACCTGATCTACTTGAGTGTAGTGCATGTGGAAGTAAACTAAGTCTTTTTGCTCAGGTTTTACTTTCTTCTAGAAACTAATAAATTTACAATTTCTTGTGAACATATTTGAAATGAACAGCCATGATTCTTATTTTTATTTTTCCAGGTTTATGCCCCAATTTCAAGTAAAAACTTAAAGATTGAAGAGCGTGTTCTTTTTGTTTTTGGTTGTCTAATGCCAAAATGTGGGAGCACTCCTCTTAGGTCTTTATAAACATTCTGTTTTGATATTACAAAGCTGCAATAAGTATTATTGTTGATGCAAACATTTTAAACTTATATACCTAAGATTATATATCATGACATGCAGCTGGCGAGCTCTTCGTGTTCAAAAATTACACAATAAGGAGGAACCAATTGCTGCTTCTCAGGAGGTGGTCCCTTCAACTTCATCAGTATCAGCTTTAAACACCAGCTGGTGGGAGGATTGGGATGATGAAGATGTAGATCTGGAGGAGTTGGGTAAAGCACTTAATGCCGCTGCGAGCTTGGCTTCTCATGCCAAGAAACCGCATAGGAAGGATAATCGTAAGACTTCTACAATGCAATCACCTTCAAGTCAGTTGGAAAAAGTGGTAGACGTTAACAAACCTGGTATGGATAGAAGAATAAACCTCAGCTTATCTTCCCTTTACTTAGTTTCGTAGTTTTTATTAAGTGTGTTTCTTTGGCCACCATTTCACGACCCTCATTTCTCTGTGGGTAAAAGATGTCACTTCATGGTTCCAATAAGTTCAAACTCTTCTTGGTTGTTCAATGTAAAAGGTGACATGGGAAAATTTGCACAAAGTGGAAAGAATAGGATTGGCTACAAATATAAAGAAGTGGAAGAATGAACCTTATCAGTGAATAAATATGAGATTGAGAATGGCTTAAATTCTCCTTTTGGTTTGAAAGAAAAAGTTAGGGAAAAAAAATTAGCATATCAAGAAATCATGATTTGTTTCTGTCATTGTGTGGAACAGAACTGTTAAAATCATTTTTTCATAGAAAATTCTGCTTAGTTTGAAAAACCTTGTTTATGTGTGTGTCCAACATGATTTACTTATTTGCGTATTTATTGGTTGTTGCATAATTTTCTCTTCTCTTTTTCTTTTTTTCATTTGTGTGTTGGGGGCGCGGGGGTGGGCAGTTCTTCAGGGAGTTACCAACTATTTTGTGACTGTTTTTGGGTAAAAATGTTGACATGGCATTTGAAGGTTGTAGTTGGTTTTTCTGACCTATAACTTGTTTGATGTGCTTGTGCAGTGGTGCCTTGTTTTTATATATACACTCAAGAAGAGCCATCCTCAAAGAATCTTACTTCTTTATGTTCAAAATACACATCACTTTCCATTGCAAAAGAAGGAAATAATGACGAGGATCATGTACAAGATGAAAAGTGGGCAGAGGAAGCATATGAATATGATAAAGCTTTGACTGCTGACAGGACATACCTTAAGTTCAAGAAACGGTTGGATGCATATCCAGAACAATGTTTCAGGTATTGAATCAATGGAAGTTAGAATGTTGTGGTAGATGGAACTAGAATGTAAGTACGGAATTACAATTGCAGCAGGAACTTGTTGTCATTGCTAGTTAAAAATTGTAGAGATTCCTATTATGCATTTGGTGGTCAATAATGTCAATTGTAAGGCTCAGTATGATGCAGAAGCACATAAAATTCACGCGATTTAATATTGTAGATCAACACACGTCCTATTTATTATTTAATTTTTTTATTCCGGGGAAAGGGCCAAATTAGGAAAATATCATGTGTGGTTAGATCCCAAAAGTATGGTTCATACCTTAGGTCCAGTTTGTGACACTTACACCTCTTGTGGTTTGCCAAAGTTAACTTAAGACATGTAATTAAGTGATGTACTTAATTGCATATATAGGACGACTATTTTACCATAATATTTTCAGATTTTTCTCTCTGATTTGGACCTTAAGGATGAACTGTATTTTAGGATCTAAGCATATGAGGTGTCTTTTCTTTTGGATTTCTTTTGGAGCTAACCAGTGAGGAATTGCTTATTGACTACCCTTTAGTTTACCCAAATGCTATTTTGTGTCAATTTCCATGTGATAAAACTTGATTTTCACCTGTTACTCGCAGCTGCAGGTGATTATAGCTTTTTTTGTTTTGTTTTGAAAAGATAATACTTTTTCATCTTATATTTGATCTTAAATTGGAAACTGGGCTTGAAATTGTGGGAAGCTTGTCTCAGGCTTTGGTACATTTATCTTCCATAGGTCTTTCAAAATTGGGCTAAGGATTATCATTGTTAGAATTGGTGAATAAAATCAAAAATCTATTGTTTAGCTTCCCATTTGCCTTTCACATCTTGTCTTATCTTCTGTACTTAGATATTCATATGGCGGAAAGCCACTCCTGGCTTCATCAGCTGAAGGAGACCCTGGGAAATGCAGGCTGTGTGGTGGATCAAGGCAGTATGAAATGCAGCTAATGCCCCCGGTATTATACTTTGTACAAGAAGCAGCTGATGATTGTCTGAGACCGTCATTGGAGAACTGGAATTGGATGACACTTATGGTATATACTTGTTCCAAGGTAAGTCAACTCTTTGCTAGTTGGTCTGAATATTTGGGGATTTTAGTTTATTCATCCCCATGTTCTTCAGTAGGGGGTGGGTGACCCCTTCTGTTTTATACAGAAACAATTTAATGTAAAGTCTGTCCTCCTTTTGCAGAGCTGTTCACAACATGATGAAGGAAAGTCCAGCAAGGGGAACTGGCTTGTGACAGAGGAAGCTGTTGTGGTGCAAGTAGAGAAATCTTTTCATGGGTTAGCCGAACGTGGCTATTTGTCATAATCGGTGCAGTTTCTTCTAGGAAAGAAGGAAAGAACAGTACATTTTTTATGCCAGTGAAACATTGTAGCTCTTCAAAGTTAGTATACATATAACAGGGCGTAAGAGGCTTTGTTTCCTGGTTATTGATGGTGGTTTCGCTGTAGAATTGACACAGTATGAGTTCTGGTGGTTGTGGTAATGTTTGAAGAATTTAAATTGCATCATCAATTATGCTGAAAGGAAAAATCATTGTCCATTGGAAAGGAGGTCTTGAGACTGCTGTGGTGCATATGGTTTGTTGGGGAACAGTTAACCTTTGTCGTTTGAGTGTATGATGCATATACAGGGTTTATATTGATTTTTGTTGCCACATTTTTTGAGCTGAGAGATTACCTCCTAATACAATCTTGGTTAGTCAGGCCATACCGTTGTTTCGGATACAAATACAATTTATCTGTTACAACTTGCAATCCGTTTGGTGGGTTGGATTATATAGCTGAATAAGTTTAAAATGTAGTAGGATTATGAATCCCCCCAATCAATGCGGAGTTTAAAGTGAGGAGGATATTTCAAGAGGCCAATTCCACTATCAACAAATATAAAAAAAGTCACAGGACTTGAACATTTTAAATGTTTTGATGGAAGGATTGAGCTCCTCAAATAGCATCCTCACTGTAAACTCTCTTTGGGGGTTTAAAGTGAGGATGCTATTTCAGGAGGCCAATTTCACCATCAACAAATATAAAAAAATCACAGGACTTGAACATTTTAAATGTTTTGATGGAAGGATTGAGCTCCTCAAATAGCAACCTCACTGTAAACTCTCTAACCATGTGTAATCCAATGGGATTGAATCTTTATAATCCAATCCAAAAGAACACAGATGTTCAAAACACACAACTTGGAAAGAGCGGAGGCTTAAGCTAAACTGGCTGGCAAAGAAAGCTTAAAAATTCTTATCTAAGTTCCCAGAAAACTATTTTTGCAGAGGTGATTTTGAGACATGAACAGAGCAAATTGTTCATACCTGATACAGCAGGAAATGCCCGTGACTGCAATTGTTTCTTTTACCAAACTAAATTACATATCTACGATTCTAATATTATTGACCAGAAACCAAAGAGAATAAAGATTGCATATATAATAGTTGGATTCGATTAGATTATTCATATTAAGTATTTGGTTTTTTTTTTCCTCTTTTCCTGATGAATTGGATTATACTAATCAATTAACCAAATACAAAAACCATATTCACATCACACTCAAGTCATGTCATTGGGCTGGCTTTAAGATCAAATACAATGGAACATATCACTAATGGGCACCATCATCATCCGTAAATACAAGTCATAATATTCAACTACATCGATGCCTGCATTCCAAACTCTTTGCTACGTTTAAGATCTAAATATTACAACATAAAAGCATTATTCGTACTGATAGGGAGCAGAAGCAACAGACACTACTCAAATTTCTTGATTAGCGCCAGGTCATTCAACATTTTGTCGATTGCATCATCGTCATGAACACGTCCTTTGGCCTGCATAAGAGAGGCTCCGTCAAATATATATATTAATTAGGGTCAAATGAATCAAATCAACCTTAGGCAGGATTTACAGACTCAAGAAGGAAATGAAAAGCCCTTATTTCTATACTCAAATAAGGTTTTATTTTTGGCATGAACTTGTATCAAACTTTCTCCCTCCCACTTAGAATGGCAAGTGAGGAACCTGAATCTTGAATGTTACATGTTCAAGAATCTTTGTTGCCCATCATCTGATTGTATCCCCTATAGTAGCCTCGAGGCTCCGTCAAATATATATATTAATTAGGGTCAAATGAATCAAATCAACCTTAGGCAGGATTTACAGACTCAAGAAGGAAATGGAAAGCCCTTATTTCCATACTGATGTAGGATATGGGTGAATTGAGTATTTAGGTAGTTTAGCGGAAGCGAAAACAATGGAAAACAGAAAATAGAACAAAAGGGATAGGTCTGGAATCACTCCAGGGGTTTGGCTTCACACCAAGTAGTCTCCAATCTCTGGAAAATAAGCTTTTCTTTATATCTCAACAACTCAACTCCCTAATGAATTACATAGACGGGGTATTTATAATAATTTAACCCTAGAGTGAAAAGGAAAATTAAACTTATTCTAGGAAGGAAATCCTAATCCAAATAAAATAGGAAACTTAGAAATCCTACTGAAATCTGGAAACACTAAAAATCCTAATAAAATCTGGAAAACTTAGAGAACCTAGGAACTAACAAATAGATTAGGAAACTAATTAATAATTCCCTCTTCCATCTCTTTCGTTTGTAAACCCTAATGGGTTTGACAAAGATGTCCTCATCAATTCTCCCCAGCTGAGAAGAACTCAACTCCGGTGAGTTAGAATTGTAGTAACATTTAGGGAAATTGGAATCAATGTGCAAACATATAGACTCATCTTCTGCCTTCCCTCTGAATCCTGTAGAATCAATGAATTTTAGGAATTCCAACTGATCAGTTACACCTTTCGCACCTTTGTTGAATGTTGATTCGACCAATGGGCAACTTACTAGTGTCATCATAGGTTGAACAATCTCACTAGATTCAATCTCAGGTCCACATCGCTAGCTGGAAGTTCAAGCGCACAAACTTCTTCCTTAAGCTCACCTTGACCAGCAGCTTCTACTTGACTCTCCATGGTATTGTCTTGAAAATTTTCTCCTTGTTTCCAATCATCAATGGATTGACGTTCTTGAGACTCCTTTGAACAAATATTGATCACGTCAAACTTATCCACATAACGGTGCTTGGATGCTTCTAGTTTTGCAAGACGATGCTCCATGAGTCTGAATCGTTCTTCGGAATCTGCCACTTGCTTTGTTAGAGTTTCCAGCATATGAACAATCCGTTCGTAGGCCTTTGCTGGCATGATTGTCTTACCAACCGTAGTTGGAGCCATACACTCGACATACAACGTGCAAAAAAAGAGATTTGAAAATTTCGAACCCAAGGAAAACGAAAACCAGGTTCTGATGCCAAATTTGATGTAGGACACGGGTGAATTGAATATTTAGGTAGTTTAACGGAAGTGAAAACTATGGAAAACAGAAAATAGAACAAAAGGGATAGGTCTGGAATCACTCCAGGGGTTTGGCTTCACACCAAGTAGTCTCCAATCTCTGGAAAATAAGCTTTTCTTTATATCTCAACAACTCAACTCCCTAATGAATTACATAGACGGGGTATAGATGGTACCATAGCAATAGCTTCCTCAACAGTTTCAGGGCAGAGATTGCCAAGAACACAAAGCTGCACAACAGAGAAAAATCCAGCATTAAGAAGATTGTTGTGGAAAAAATGAAATGAAAATTTTCATCCTAGAGTGTATTGTACATGATTGGCAATTACCTCAAACTCAGTCAGTTGATATCTGCTCAGAATTCTGAATCCCAGTTAAGATCAACCTTTGATGCAGATGGAACATCATTTATTTATTTAAAGCAACTAACAAAAACCAGAGTTTCCTACGGAAGTCACTAGCCCAATTAAGCAGTTGAAAGATTCATGTCTGAATTTGTGGCAAGTAAGAGTTACATATACACATCAACAGATGAACTCAGCTAGATTTCCAATCCACACAGACCTCATAACTGAATGGATAATCTTAGTTGATTAAGTAATAAATGCTTCCATTGTTCAAGAGTTTCCCACATATGGTTGACTAGATTTTTACAATCTTTAACAAACGATTGAGCTCCATAAACTGCTGTAGTTTAACTTGCTTTAACGCTACACACATCATAACTTGGACAAATAACGAGAACCCATGACTAATACGAGCCATCCAGCTAAATTTGGAGTTGTAGGATTGATAAACATGCCTCCTCTAACGGGCAAATTTGGTTAATTCTCTATTTTATGTAGTGTATATGAGATAATTGCAAGGTCCTCTATAGTACGAAATTCCAGAAAATAATAAAAGATGGGAAGTTGTGCATATGTATGAATGTAGTAGACATGTAGCACAATCATGAACAACATAGAACATAAATTCCCATCTTCACAATTTGAAGGATACTCTCTAACTTGTTTGACAGCATCAGGATTTTTATAACGGCTAAAGCGCTTCACATACTGCAGCGACTTCTCAAATACTCTGAGGAAGTAAGATGAAAAAGAAAGGGAAAATAATCAATTATTCTTATCAAACTTGTTTAAGAGAAAACAGTTCAAGGCCAGACAAAGTCAATGTAAATCTCCTTTTTTGCCAGACAATCTACATAATCATAAGCTGGGTTTGCAGGTGAAAGGTTCAAATTCATAAATCAAGGCATAACCACTATCTTAGAAATTACAATAGATAAAAATGAAAGCAAAACTCACTGAGAAACTTGGTTTCTGGGGTCATCAGACATCTGCTGAAGCTGGTCGTATTTATGTTCAAGAATCAACGCAACTTCGCAGTTCATTAAGCACTTGGCTTTCAAAAACTCTGCCCACCACACAAGAAAACAAATAAATACAAACAATTTATATATATATGTAGGTAGAGAGAGAGGGAGAGAGAGGTACCGTCTCCGATTTTGAGCTCGGCGGCATTTTCTTCTTCTTCTCCAGACATGTTGCAGAGCAAGCAGAAGGTACCGAAAATCTAGAGAGAGAGAAAGAGAGAGAGCGAGAAATTGAAGTATTTGAAACCCACTTTTCGAGTAAGCAGGAATTCAATTCGGAATCAGACTTGCCGATATATAAATATTCTTGAAAATTGGGAAAGTTGAAGTTCGGTGCGGGTTTCGGGAAAAAAAAATATTAAATTCAATGGGTCCTAACAAACATTTCTTCAGACCAAAAAAAACACAAACAAACAAACATTTCTTCATTTCCTAATTCTTAAGCAGGTGAAAAGGAATTGAATTGAGCAGTTAGAATCTGAATTTCCATTGAAGTTGTTTACTAAACTATTAGAATTAGAGTAGGAATGATATTAATTCCTTATAAGTTATTTACTAACTTCTCCTGAATTGGAATTGAAACCCGTTTGATTACTAAAATGCCTTAAATTATTTTGTGAGCAAATTTTTATTGGGTTAAAGTAGATGGTGAATTTGGAATTCAAAGATTATGTGAGGATATAATAGGTAAAAAAGATAAATTACTAAGGCCGAATTTCGTTAATGTTTTCAAAGCGTGTTTTCTATTTTTGGAAGAATAAGGATTAAATGAATAAGTTTGACGCTTTCCAAGAATTTGAGAAGTATTAATTAAATGGTTTTCCTTATCGTATATCTTGATATAAGCATACTGAATTGAATTTTTTTCAAGTATCGAACGTTATATATGTACGTATACAAAAGGATTTTGTTGCATATTCTTTTGG